GAACTAATTGTAAAGATGATGATAATGTAATGAAAGACTACTTATTATGTGTCACTTTACTTTAGGACATAAAAAGGTTAACTAATGGATGGGTTATTGAGTAATGATTCTGCACTGATGAAGTAACTAGTTCACTAATTATTAAGTCGTGATTAACCCCTCTGTGAAATTTGATCATGAGTTAATGAAGAACTGACCATTAACCAATAGTTCATCATTAGTTCCTCATTCGTTCCTCATTAGTTCCTCATTCGTTCCTCAGTAACTACTCTAATTTTGTGTACCTTATTGTAAAGTGTTACCCAAATTTTCATAACGAATACCTACCCATAGAAACGAATATTCGAATATCTGAATATCTGGGTACAGCCCTACCGGCGACAGAGAAATCTGACCCCAGGTCCAGTAGCCTAATTTCCTCTTTGTTGGTGTCATGACTGCCCAGTAGTACCTGGACAACCGAGCCGTGGCGGCACACAGGTATGTGGCGTGTCAGAGGAGAAACGAGCCCTTAACATTTCTCTCTCTGTGGCAGGTAACGGTCCACAAACCTCACCGCACTGAAGGGACTGTTCTTTACTTATGAAGGGACTGTTCTTTACTTATGAAGGGACTGTTCTTTACTTATCAGGGGAGGAGGGTGGCTGGTTGATTTTTATTTTATTTATTTATTTTATTTCAATCCCCCCATGTTAATCACTTATTGATGCTGTTTTTTTCTATGAATAAGTCAATACGTAATTTATTCCATTGAAATATCATTGATGTATTATAGAAAAGTGATTTATCTTTTTATAAATGACAAAAGGCACATCTGCCTCATTTTTGCTGTGGTATCGTGGTACTACTCAGAACCTTGATACTTTCACTGGTATCGTACCGTGGGTCCCAATTTTGGTACTGTGACAACACTAGATGTCAGAACCATTCCATTCGGAGTTGCGCAGTGAAGCGGCTCTGGTGCCGCTTAAAAAAGTGTTCCCCCACTTCTAATTTTACAAATTAAGCACTGGTTATAGTACAGAGGGATCCCCCAACCATCGCTTACATTTATAGTTTTTTCGGTCTTAAATTCCATTCAAGGTGGCATTAAAAAGGTCTTAAAAAGTCTTAAATTTAACTTACTGAAACCTGCAGATACCCTGTGTGAAACACCAAATTGCTAGTGTACCCCTTTAATACTCCGGAGGATATTAGATCAGTTATGTTTAGCTAAAAGAACAAACTTAATGCTAAGATTATTGTGTGTCTGGCATAATTGTTGTAAAATTAGCTTTTAAAAGGACCTGCAAACAGAATGAGCTAAAGCTAGTATGAATCAAGTGATGTGGGTTGAACTCATATAATGCAGTTTCCTCATGTGTATTTTGAAATTGACCTAGCGCACCCACACGTGTTTTACGTTAGTCTAGCTGACCTCTGTTCAGCTTGATGTTGGGCTGAGTGTCAGTATGCTGGGAGGATCTCTAAACTTCATGTAATAAGAATCATAGGAGGAGAGTCAGGGAGATGTCAATAAAGCCCACTGTGAACACACCTGCACAGTCATAGAAGAGGTCTGATCAGGCAAAGTAGGTGACACTAATTTATGTTTCAATTTCAAAGGTCACTCAGCAAACAAAGCTGTTGGAGTGCAGGCAGCAGATCTGCTTCTCTCTAGTCGACACTTACTCTCCATGTCATGCCTCCCTGCCCTCTGCAACATCTGCTGCATCTGTCTGGAGCATTTACTGCTGGAAAGGGGAAACCCAAGAAAGATGCAGATACCAGAAGAAACACTAAGTGAGACAAGGAGAAAAGCGGGAGTAAAAGATGAAGAAGGAGTACAGATTCCAGGAGGAGGAAGAGAAGAGGGCAGTAGAGGAGGGAGTTACATACAAAGGGGAGATCAAGGAGGAAGAAGGGGGAGTGAAGACATAATGATGGATGGGACAAATGGTAGAGCCCAGTTGCCTCCTGTACAAGTCCAGATACCCTCCACCCTCACCCAGGTCTACCTCACTGTTCTTGGAGCCTTTCTGAGCCATGACCCTGATAAAAGAGGAAGGGTTGACGAGCCAAAGACCACAAGAGTTCTACAGAGGTGAGGGTAAAGTAGAGCACTTAACATGAAAACCACCACTTCCCACCACTGACACACCATACATAACACAGAGTTTTCAATACATTTGATTGATAAGATGAATTCAGAGCTTGATCTTTCATTATTAAGGCATTTTAATATTTTAAACGAGAGAAGTGATCCAGGAAAACCCTTCATAGGATTTAGGAGTCTTTTAAAAATGACAAAAAGATTGTACAATGTCTTCATTTTAGTGAGAGGCTTGTTGTATGAGGTATTTATCCATAGTCTAATAGTCAGTGTATAACATACAGTAGATGTTGGCTGGCACACCCCCAGTTTGGAGAAGCAGGCTAGAGTCTGAAACGGTAGCTAAACAAGGGACTGCTGTGGAGGGGCCAGCAACAAAATGTATTTTAGCCACCTAAAAGAGTCCCATCAAACAAAAAGAAAAAGAAAAAGAAAAAAATCAATATCAGTTTAGTGTACGTTGTATTTCAAAAATTTTCACTGCTTTACTTTGCCGTCAGACTGCAATCTCCAACAGGAACTGTAGCTCTCTCTTTGAGAAAAACAGTGATTTAACATCACTGAATACTGGAGTTCTTGATCAGTTAGTTTGTTTTTGTTATTTTGTGACTTCGGTGTTTAAAGGGTTATTTCAGATTCACCAAAATCACACAATCACACAAACTAACTAACTTATTTAAGCAGCCGTAGGCCAGCACCTCTAATGATCATTGAGCCAAATTTACCATTGTTTTGTCAATGGACTCTGGTGGCCTTGACAAGAGCATAGATAAGGAACTGAAGCCCTTAGCCCATCAGAACTTGCTGTCTGACGGAAAGGTAAAGGGGTGAAAATATTCTCAATATAGTGTGCACTTCAAGTGATATTGATTTTTTTAGGTGGGTCTTTTTTAGGTGGCAAAACATGTTTTGCTGCTTCCCCCTCCACAGCAGTTCATTGCATAGTTTCTGTGTCAGCACTCCAATGGCTTCTCCAAACTGTTGGCGTGCTGACAGACGTCTACTGTATGTGATTAACTGACTATGGAAAGGTACCCCATACAACCCCACTTCAAAAAATCCAAACTTTTCCTTTCATTTTACCCAGTTTTCACTTTTACATTATTGATTATATAAAGTTTCAATGCAGCAAATGTTTGTGATTTGTTATTTGTTGTTGTTCTCTGTTTTCGGCCTCTTTGTGCAATCGGCATGTACGCTGACCAGTCTGAGTCAGTATCAATCGGAGTTGTGTGAGCTGAGTCAGCTGGCCTGGAAAGGCTTGGAGGACAGCAAGATCCTCTTCATGGAAGAAGATATCACTCAGGATGTTTTGAAGTTTTCAATCAGGACAGGGCTCTTCTCACAGGTCAGACTTAGCTGTATGTGTGAATATTCTCTACATGTCCTCTGAAACTAGAGGGCAGTGTTAGTTTTGGAAGGAGGTAGGAGTTTGGGGAGGGGTGTGTGTGTGTGTTGTTTTGGGGAGTGGCTCCTGTTGGTGTCAGTCAACACTTCACAAGAGTTAGCTCAGTTCAGTTTACACAGATTAAAATGATTTTGATATTTGAACTAAATTCACGGTTCCAAAAAATTATCTAGCTTAAATTAATTTCCTCTCTTTTTTCAAATGAATTTTCTGAGCTATTTGTTTTAAGTAGAATCTCCTCCTCCACTGCCCACTTCCCAAACTACATGAATCACTCTGTACTACCATAGAATCACAGACAGAGAATCCTTTTAAAAGCCAAGGAAAACCTATGTAGGTGTTACCGCTTAAACAATGCAGCATATTATGCAGAGAGCGAGGAGGTTCAACAATTTTTTTTTTTTTTTTTTTAGATGCAATGGAAGTTTTACTTGAACCAAATCATGCAGCAGTTCAAATCCACAAATAATTAAGTTCATATGCTTCCAAGTGGGCTCCACCACTGGCTTCATTGCAGTCTCTATAGCTGAAAGATGTGTTTTAATTTAAATTTAGAGAAAGCATTAATGAAAAAATAGGAAAAAAAAAGACCAGGACTGTGCCACTGTCAGTTTGCGGTCTTACCCTCTGTTAATGGTTTGTTGTGATCATCATTTACTCAAAGATATTTTCCAAGACTGCTCAGATTCTTTAATTCAAGGCGTCGTTTCAAATTTGTTGTGGCTATGGCTGACATCGTGAAACGTTCTTCTCAGAACCGATGGGCACAATTTGCATAAAAATGTGATATTTTTCTCTGTTGAAATCTCTACTGATTTGTTCATAAAAGTCCTTTCAATATCCAAATGAACTGGCTTTAGTGCTAGCGGAGGCTGTGTTGTCTGAATTACCATTATCACTGGCCATGCTGGTGTTTTGTCATTATGCTGGATGCCACAAATCCTTTATTACTGCTACACACGTATCTTAACCCTTCCATGCTCATGAAATGATCAATCTTTTCATGTAGTTTATGTCACTGTCATGTACTGTCTGACATTACCCTCTGGCCAAAACTTTCATTCATAACAATACGTTGTCCATATCATCCTGTCAGGTGGAGCTCAGACGTGAAGATGGGATGCTTGTCAACTGCTACTGCTTCATTCATCTGACACTACAGGAGTTTTTGGCTGCAATCAGAATCATGACCAGCACTGATGTTAGTGACATGCAGCTCAAGAAGAGGTAGGGAACTGGATTCATAAAAGCCAAATGTGACTGAAAAGAACATGGTTATATTTGTCAAGGAAACTGCAGGCTTCCTTTACGGAGCTGTCAATCAGATGACCTTTACAAACACAAACTTTCCTTAAAAGTTCTGTATGTAGCATCCAGAAAATTAATATAGCAGTAAACCACTATTTGCTATGTAAAGATACAGTGGAGTTATGGCATCCTGAGCCGTGAATGAAGTCACATTATCTCTGTGTGTTGTAATCCGAGCATCTCTGTTGTTTGTAGTGGTAGTACATGTGTGTACCCCACTGGCTAGCTCATCACCGCCGCTTTGTTCTGTGCTTATGTAGTGATTACCACTGATATGGGCAAGGTGTCGTAGTAGTAGTTGTCCCTTCAGAATTGTTGCCATTGTTTAGCACTGTTTCTGGAGCTCACATGGTTAGCTGCTAGCTTCTGACTCACGCACTTCCACGTTGAGAGCTGTGTGCAGACAACTCACAAGATCTGAATTTTACTTAGAGCCTCTTTAAGTTGTAGTAATTGCACACTGTGCCTGTACCTGTGCATAGAATCAGTTATAATTACAACCAGCTTGTTTTTACACAACATTATCAGCTTGCTCTGCATTTTCTCCATATATTTAGTTTGTGCCTTTTGACATAATCGTCAAATTATCAGCTGAGTGACACACTGGAAATGGATGTATATAACATTATAGCACTGGCTGTATGATCCAATTTTCAAAATATTCTCAATACCAATACCTACTTTTGTGCTTCCTATATTGAATGAAACTCTGTTTACACCTGTGCACCCAACACCAGGTCAGGTAAAAGCCAGCTGCATGTGCACTGCCACCAAACTAGAACCCTTGAGCTTGAAAAATCATTTAGAAAATCCTAATAATTGTTTTCAAGCATTGACCAATCTTGGAGGTTGTATCTAAGTATCTAAATCGTCAGTGTGCTAAAGGTACTTCTGCATTTTCTGAGTAACAACACAAGTTGCAGAGCACTACAGAATTTCAGCATATAATGTAACACTCTACCGGGAACATACCAGGAATAACCCAGCCATGGAAAAAGATGAGCCGTGTAAGCTGAGCACACCGTGAGATGTCCTTTCTCCCTAGAAGGAATCCAGAAACTTACTGATGCAGGCACAAAGCGGATGGTCCAATCACAGCAGTGGACGCTCTGGGGGTCAGCAGAAGTGGAAAGCACCGACATAGCAGGAGGTCACTTCTGTCACCCTATAAAAGCCTTCTTCTGAATAGACACATTATATACTAGACACCATCTTGTGCTGGGATCAAAACAGCCAGGAAGTCAAATCACTGTTAATGGTGCAAAGGTACAAATGACATGAGAGAAGCAAGTTTGGCAAAACAGCTGAACTGTGCCAGATTTATTCTACATGTCCTAGATTGCACTGGTTCAGTGGACGGGAATGATTCATTAATTCTAAGGTATAGCTTTCTGTGACTAATAATAAATGTGGGCCAGGGGCATAAAGTACTTTAGGCTCACACCATACAGCAACCTTTGCACTCATCTTTTTTATGATCTCAGCTATACACCTGTAAAGTTTTGTGCAGACAGACAGACAGACAGACAGACAGACATGTAAACACCTGGCAAATACTCAAAACACTTTTGTGGTAGTTTCCATTACATTAAGTGTCTACAGGACCACATTTTGCCATTATGACACACACACACACACACACACACACTGACCACTTGCTGTCGCGGCTTTTAATTATATATGTTATATATATAACAGTCACGTCTGGCAAAGGATTTTTTTTTGTGTAGTGTTGTATGATCAGTTAAACAATCAAAAGCTATTAAAACCTTGGTCTTTACTTGTATCCTACTCTGTGCACTTAATAGTTCATTAACTTCATTAAAATGTGTGTGACAGCAATCCCACTGAAACACCTATTGGAATATTCCTCCTTTTTAAAATCTTAACTGTGTCAGTCATTATTCTTAACACATGATCAATTAGCAGTCTAATTGTACATCTCCAGAGAACATAAATATTCACATTAGAAGCACACTTGAATTTCATTTACCCACGTACCCTGATGCGTTAATAAGGCAGGATGACAATTGCCAAAACTGTGTAACCAATACATTTCTGTTTAGTTTGTATAACTTCATGTTTACTCCCCTTGGTTAGTTGGTTTCTAAAAATCAGTCTGAACAGGAAGTGGACCAAAACTAGAGTGCAGCAACGTTCATTTACCAATGTTTTGTGAACACCCTGGGAGTTCTGAGTAAAATTACTCAGTGGTTTGCTTCTGTAAACTAACAAGTGCATAAATAAAAACTATGAACATTTTTCTCATGCCAGAATATGTCATTGTTATATGACGATCACTTGTCAAAGCAGGACAGTGTGTCTACTGTACGTCATGCTTCTCATCTGGCTGGAAAGGCCAGGATCTATCCTCTACACAGCAACATAATGTAAGTGTGTACCTTAATATCAATCCAGATAAAATATTGACTTTGCTCTGTCCTCTTCCTCACTGCTCTCTCAGATTCAGTCTGAGAACTCGCTGGACGACCAGGTCAGACCAGAGGACAGTCTTCACTGACTCCCTGCACCAGTATGTCTGTGGTCTGGCTTCCCCACACTGCACTGCAGCCTTAGTTCAATTAGCCAAGACCTCTGGTGGAACAGGAAGCCAAAGTTGGGTGCAACAACGACAAGCTCTTGTTCGAAAACTGCTTAAAAACCTCTGTCACAGCAACACCCTGACTGGACCAAAGGTAGAATATAAACTGAAGTCAATTCTGACAGAATAATGTATTGTTGAACTTTAACCCATTCTCATTGTTTCTTTCCTGTTTCTGATTCTTCATTCTTACATCTCCCCAGATATTGGAGCTTTGCCACTGTGTCCAGGAGAGCCAGGACAACCAACTAGCTAAGGAGGTTGTGGGGACGAGACCCACCCTGGAGCTGCGCAACATCTGGCTGTCACCTAATGATATTGATGCTCTGGCTTTTGTAGTTAACTCAGTAGGTGATATTGGCATTGGATTGGACTTTGGAGCATGTTCAATGGAGCTGGAGTGTTTAGATGTGCTGCCAAGGTGTCAGTACATTCAATACCTCAGGTACAAATACACACACACACACAAAAAAATTCAAACAGTTTGAAATAGCTTCAGAAGCAAAATTGAGATGGGTGTGGCGGCGCAGCAGGGGGAGGTGTCGACAGATCCAGCTTGGCGCAGTGACAGTTTCGTGCCAAAAGGCTTCGCCAAAGGTGTGCTAAAAGTTCGCTAGCTGAAACCAGGTCTACTGTCAGCGCAGGCGGAGCGCAGCCGGTGTAAGTGGAAGTTTGGCTGATCGGCGGACAGTGCGCACACGTCACCAAAACCTCACAGGCAGGTTTCCAGAATGGCAGGCACATTAACAATGCAGTAAATACCCACACAAACCACTATTCAATGCAACTATCTGCAATCACCTCCGCCTTGCCCGATCTGCGAAACTAGAGGCCATTGTCTCTAAGTGTGAACAGACAAATTGCTGGCAACTAGCACCTAGCATTGTGAGGCTAAGAACTATTTTATGGCCAGAGGAAAAGTGTGCTTGAGGAGCAGTTGAAATGTGTCACTGTATGGGATACAGTAGGACTGATGGTGTTGAGCTGTGAAGAGTCTGAAATCTGTTGGGCTTATGGTTAAACGGCAGCAGTGGATGTGGCTCCGGAAAGAACTGCTGCTTTGCCAGTAACATTCCTCAGCTGACTGGCCACCTGTTCCACATACTGTGAATCTGACTAAAGCTCTTCATTTCCTGCTGTGTTCTTGTTGTTGGCTAAGTCACTCTTTAACAAGTAGTCATGCAGTAGCCCGGACTCAAGTGCAAAAGGACAACTGACACCATTAAGGGACATTTTATTAGACCAACTCATAAAAGAACACCTACACACTGTGTACACATGTAACTCAACTCAAATATAAAACAATAAACAGTAAAGGCAGAAGGATTAAAGGGAAACTGGCCAGTACATTGACTTAATTGTAAAAGTACAAACAGATTCCATGAGAAAAATGAACTGAGGCTGTAGTTCTTGAGTTCTGCACACTAGACATAGTAAACTCAAACAGCAGCAAACAAAGGTTTTTACTCTTTTTCTACTTGCATGGACAAGTCTCCAACGGCAATCATAATTTGATCATAAGTTGATACCGGCAGTAAGTGTTGCCAAAAGTGCTCAAGGCCCCTTTTTTATTGATCCCAGTGTCGGTGTCACAGTGCTCCCATGCAGTCATACCTTGCTTGTTGCAAAAAGTATTTATCACCCAGGAGTGTGTACTGTCAAACTATCAAGGGAGGTGAAGCTCTCTTTAGGGGCCCCTCTTAAACTATCAGTACGTTTACATAAACAGTTAAGTCGAGCTATGGTTATAGCTCAACTAGGCCATTTAATTGGACTACTGTCCTTGTCCGAGTATACAAGCACAGGAAGGGAATCAGTTATTGGCCGAAGTTTGTCAGACTCCGTTACCATAGGTGGCGTAATGACCCCTTTCTGCTTGTTAGTATTTGACCTTTTTCTGGTTGGCCTCTTACGTCACAGATCAAACAATTGACAAACAAGTTAGCTATGGTTAGCTAGTGTCAAACTGGTACCATGTGGACAACTTTACAGCTCTTTACATTTCGTCCATCCAAAAATGCACGCCTCTACAGGACGATTTTGCCGTGTTGTTACTGGCTTTTTGTTGTATTTTGAATTTAATGCTATTCAACCTCTGGCTAAAAGGCCAGGGCATGCACAGAGTGCCTAGGGCAGTTTGGGTCCAATTGACTGTATACATACAGTAGTAATTCAACACCCAATCACATTTCTTTGAGAAACTCAATTTAGTAAGATTTCAGTTGGACCAACATGTTCACATGTATTTTAAAAGTCCATTTTTTGTCAGACTAACACAATAAATCATTTTTCTCTACTGTCATGTGAACACACTGACTAACTGTATAATAAATGGAACTGGTAATGTAAATACAGCAGCAGTAGTAATTATTATATTGACTATAGAAGTTTGTAACCAGCAGATTCAGCTGTTTTGTTAATTTTCAGTGACATTTTCTTTTGTTTGCTCAACAAATTTGACATGCTTTATGTGAGTCTTGTATGTCAGCTTCCAATCTAACATGAAGGTTTGTTTCATTAATTTTCCATTTCACTATTTGTGTGCCTTCAGTTTTCGCAGCCGCAAGTATGGTGACAAATTTGCCGAGAAGCTGTCTTCCATTCTGCCAAAATTCACAACCCTGAAAAAACTAGAGTAAGATTTTTTTTTTCTTGTCTTCTTTTTTCTCTATTTCCTTTTCACAGTCCGTCTTCAGAATCTGTCTTTAATTCATATATAGCTTAGCAAGTGTGGTGTACCTGAAATGCTTTCAGGCTATACTCACAGACAGAGGCAGAGCCAGGGGTGGTTTCTGGGGCTCCAGCCTTAAGTGTTATTTCAGAAGCCCTGAATCTTTGCTATTCCCTGAAGAAATCTGATGAAATTGAATGAACGTTCTTCTGTTGACCTAATATTCAATTCAGAGTATTGAAGACAGAATTACTCTGCATTGTTGATTTGCAGATAGAGCAGCGTAGATTATTTCGGCATGGATTTAAATGTAGATCATTTGTCAACTAAATACTGATTCTGTGAACTCTATTACAGTATAGTGATAACTACAATAGTTTAGTTATGCTGTTTACACCAAATACCAGCCTCTTCCTAAATTGTAGATTTTAGTCATTCTGTTATCTTAAATGGCTTGAAAAATAGTGCATATAGCTATCATAAATGGGGAAAAAATGCCCCTGGAAAGCATGCCCCCTGGCTCCACTAGGTTTGGGCTGAGCCCCGAATGTTTTCGACATCCGGCTCTGCCCCTGCTTGCAAATCAACGTAATTGTCTTTGAAATACTATACGGAATGCAGTAGGAGCAGTCAGCTCTTAACACTCCTACGACAATAAGTGGATGATTTTGTTTTTGTCTTTTCAAGGTTTTGTGGTGCCAGTCTGACCGCCACAGGAGCGGCTTGTTTGGCCTCTGCTCTACAGAACTGTCCAGACATCACTGAAATCAAGTACATTTGCTTCACATACTTTCACTGCTACAGCAAATAACGTCCTTTGTAAAGGTCCTCAATTCGTTGGAATTGAGTGAGCATATTGTTGTGATGCTGACTCCTTATACCTGATAAAGTGGTGAAATATTTTGGGTGCAGGTCTAAACTTTAACACCAAGCTTTTGTGTTTGCTTTGCAGTCTGAGTGACAACAATCTGAAAGATAGAGGAATTGAACACATAGCAGATTTTTTTCCCAAACATTCAAGACTGGTCTCAGTAAGGTAAGTACACTGCCAAAGAGATGGTATTTCTCAATAACCTTAATATCTCAAGATCTGCAGATTTTTAGCCGATTCCGTGCACAGGATTTAATTGTGTGTGTTTGTGCATCTTGCAGGCTGGGTCGAAACAACAGCTCACTGGAAGCAGTGGACTATCTCATTGGGAAAATGTCTTTCTGTTTGAACATCCAGCACCTTCATGCAGAGTATGACCACACCCAAGCACGTGCCCACATACACAGCGCCAACTAGTTGTTAGTTTTAGCACAGAGGCCATACAGTACATCCACAGAGGCTCACCATCATGAAGTCTGTCTATCACACTTTCAATTTTTGACTACACACTTCATGCTATCAGTATGGCACTGTCAGCATTTTTGCAGCCAGAATATCTTCTCAGTCACATGCATCCTTGAATATTACAAACCTACTTTGCAGACCTCAAGGGAATTAAGTAAAATACATCAAAAAGTAAGAAGGTAAACATTGTTATACAGCTCATATACAGTGTAGATGTTTTTGTTTTGTTTTTTACAGTGGGAAGAAGGAATTTACAGTAACCTTCTCCCAAAACTCTGATCTGATCAGGTGAGTTTCACAGACAGATAAACATAATGAGTAACTACACACCAGTAAATAACCATACAGTGTGTCTATGAATACCATTTTGATCAAATCAATACAGCACATACTGAACTGATGTCTTATTTATGCTTTCCACTCTGCAGCCATAAAACTAAGTCTGAACCAACAATCAGGTGAGATGTTTGATAGTAACTCTCTAATCAAATGTTGACCACTGTCCAGATCTTTACTAACGCAGCCAGTTTCCTTGAAGAACTTTGCTCCTCCTTTGAACAAGGTGCTTCTACCTTGCCTTTTTTTCTAATCTTGGCCTGAAACAAAAAACAAACAATGTTTTTAAATTTGTTGATAGGTTTTAATATTGTGCACGATTGTTTGCCAGCTTGTTGAACCAGAAATGGAGTAAACCTGAGATGCAAAAAATTGCAGAGTCATTGGCGCGTTGCCCTGCCGTGGCTAGCCTGGAGTAAGTAACCCTTAGTACACCTCTTTTTAAATTTAGTGTGATACAACCTACCAAAAGAGACAGATGCAGCACTGAGTACAGTGACAACAGCCAGTCATTTACTTATTGTTTTATCAGAGTTCCTGGCTGAACTATACACAGTAGCCAAAAGTAAAAAAAAGTAATTACATTTCAAGCATCCAATCTAAGTAGTTGTTAGAAGTCTCTCATGAATGTCATCACTTCCCTTTTTGTCATCAGAGCAGGGTTTGCCATAACTGAAATTTTGTGTGTTATCATCAGACAGCCAGCACTATAATTTGGCACGGCTGGTTAAATTTTGTCTGTGTATCAGATTGGCTCGTTTGTAAGAGCACCACACTGTTAATATACAGTATGTAGTAGTATCATTCAAATCATAGTAATGAATTTCTGTTTGTGTTTGTACATCCTAGTGTGTCTGGAGACCATATGGATGTTGAATGTCTGAGGACGCTGACTCAGTTTTTGCCAAAGTTCAACGTCACCAACAAGATCATGTAAGACTGCAAAGTACCCATCACAAAGCACAAGAGTGACAAAAAGCTACGTGTATTTTGCATTTGACTGATTTTCACTTTTCCTACACAACATGCCATGTCACTTTATGCTATCCAAAAAAGTAGCATGAAGACATGTAATGCACTGCTTAACTTGTAGTGGTTAAGGATATGCGAGTACAACTAACAGAGCTCAACATCTATCAGAATTGAACAGCAGCAGTTTGTTTGATAGTCGTACGTCTCCTCAGTGTGAATGAGAGCTGCTCTTCAGTGGAGGGTTTGGTGGTTCTGACTGCTCTGCTGTCTGATTGTCCTGCTGTGGTGGAACTTAACATCAGGTACAGACACACTTGTAATGTGCATCATATACTATAATTGCACACATGCTAACACTTTTAAAAGAATACTTCAACCCCCAAATGACCATTTGTATAGCAGTTAATTCTGTGTTACCTCAAATTTGGAAATAAAACGTTGTTTTTCTTGCATGCCTCTGCAGTGAACAACAAAATAGAAAAAAAACCTGAGAAAATTGTTGATCAAATGAAGTCATTGGGGGCCATGTTAAACAACAGCAAAACTATATCAAAACATCTGCATACTCTCATTTGACTCGTGCAGCATAAATAAAGTCTACTTTTTCCAGTTTTATGCTGAGTACTTCGCATACACATAGATTTTCACAAAAATTTTTAGTATTTACAACACCGATACATAAACAGCACAGGGGCGCTAGTGGTTGTGAGATTTTTCTTTCTCTTTATTGAAGTATTCCCTTGAAGCGTTGTACCAAGAAATGCATGATTTTCGTTACTCACATCTTGTCACTGTGTAAAACAACCAACAATATTTAAATTAAACTTTGTCATAAAACATTGGGAGCATTCACAAATACTCATAAATTGTATAGTTATGAGAAGCTACATAAATAGTGACATCACCACGGCCATGTAACTTTGATTTTTTCAAAAATGTTTCAGACTACAGAGTCCTGTCCAGGCGTCCATAGTGTTCTCTAAAGGAAGAGACAAACCTGCAAATGAAAAATCTAAAATGCTCTGGTATGTATGAAATTATTGTCTCTGTGTAACAGCTCAGTATTTCCAGGTTTAAACCCAAAAGCACAACTCAGAGACCAGGCAAGTTAAGTTAAAAGTTCAGTTTTACTTGTGGTCAAAAATAGATAAAAGTCAGTACCAGACAGGCAAGAAGGGAATGCAGACTTATCCAGTAATCAGGCAAAGCAGGCAAAGATGACATTAACAGGCAAGTGAGATCAGATCACAAATGGTCAAGCTAGACACAGCTGGAGACTCACTCTAATGCCAGATGTGAACAGACAGACTTAAAGCTGTCCACTCTGCTCACCCAAGGCACATGTTAATACCAGGTGTGAACAGGGCCTAAGTTGAAAGCACTTAAAATGATCTAGTGGAGAATGAATGGGAGTGGGCTGGTAAGGGGTAAGTGCGAACAGGTGGGCAGGGGAGGTCAGGGAATGGGAAATGGTGGTAACACAGAGGTTACTGCAGGGCAGGAGGGAGTGGCAGGATCTGAAATGACAGGAGAGTTGGTATATGGCAAGCAGATAGAAAATGTGGAACTAGAATCAGGTTGTGACACACTGTAACAGTTTATTACGGAAATTTGGATGCATCCTGTTGCAACAGAATATATAGCGATCACTCAGTTAAATAATGCATTATCAGGAAGAGAAGACATGTTTAAAGACATTAAAAAATAATCTGCTTGGAATAATGATTTATGTTTCATATAGTTTTCCCACAAAAAGTTTAATTAAAAGTTTAACAGCAAGACAAAAGTTGTCTTCTCCTTCACTGATAAGTCAGTTCTCACTCAGTGTATGTGCACTGTAGGTTTCAGGTTGTTAAACTTAGTTAAAGGTGAGCAGAGAGAAACCTACCCACTGTAACAGATGAATATGTTATTGTGTCAAACTCTGCACATGCATCACTGCACAGTGAAGCTCAAACATCCAGGTGAAGCAGCAACAAGCAAAACATTGTTTGAGCGGAGGGGAACTTCATTTTATAACTGTATGTATTACTGAATATTACTATCACTGGTGATGATGATGAAGATGACGGTGATTCTCAAGCTGTTTCCTCCGTCAGTCTCAGCTGCTGTGCTCTGCTGCCGACACATCTGGAGAGAGTGTTGAGGAGTCTGGGAACCTCGTCTGATCTCACTTTGCTGGAGTAAGATACACAAAAAAACATAATCAGAAAACACTTACCTGTCAGTGAATCTTTATGCACCATATATGAAAATCTGCTATGAAAAACAAACATATGCATTTATAGTCTATAGTTATATGTAATGATGATGACTTGTTTAACCTATAATGGCATGTTGTACCTCATTAACAGTCATCATGTGCCTGGATGGTAAATACAGATTTGGCCTAAGTCGTAATGCAATGTTATATTTATGATCTTTGCCCTGTGTTTATATTTGTTTGTCTTTTATTTTAGCAGCTACCTATGCTGTGCCCTTTCTTGTCTTTGTTATTATTTTAATCCCACATTCTTGTCTGTCAGTCTGTCCAGTAACTGTTTGGGCAACAGAGGTCTGAGGAAACTGTTGGATGTCCTTCCTCGTCTTAGTAGCATCCAGGAAGTAATGTAAGACTCACATATATAATGGTAACAAAAGATAAATACAAAACTGTAGAAAAAAAGAAAACATCTGAAACTTTACTGGTGATCTTTATAGCAAGCCAACAATATAAGGATGTATGATATGTATTTGATGAGAATGAGTGGAGGAGGTGTTTTAAATGAAACATTAGAGTCTGTGTTGATCTAATCTAAAATATTTGGCAAAAGCAGAGCTGTTAGTTTGTCACCAAACAGGTTCCAAAAATAAAACAGATTCAGTGCTGACAGCTGCTAGGTTTACCCCAGGGTGTTATTCAGTGTGAATGGCTCACTCAGAGCTAGATAATGTCCTTCCCATGGCTCATTGTTATTTTGTGTCTGTGTGTTTTTCAGTGCCAGTAACAATGGGATTGGCATGGAGGGAGTGGTGATGCTGGCTGGTGCTTTGTGCTCCCATGACAACTTAACACAAATTCACATCAGGTACTCTTTGTCTGACATTTTTTGGCAAGTAATTGTTATATAAAAGCAGGAACTGAGTGAACACCTGTTTCACCAGTGTGGCATGCTGTCAGTTAGAACTACAACAGCTGATGAATGCTGCTTAAAGAAATATTTCACTACTGAAAACATGGTCTATTCACAAAACTGGGCTGTCTACGCAGTAGAAAGATGCAAAAACAAAACAAAAATTGCAGTGCTACTGTAATGTCAGTGTTGGAATGTCTGTGATGAGACTGATGCAGTGGCAGGAGTAATGGGGCCTTTACTTTTTGATGCTTTTTGTCCTTTTATTACTTGGTAATACATCACTTAATGAGTAGACTTCAATTTCTGGAAAAAAATGGTGGTGTTGCTTTGTGGTGCAGCTACGACCGTGTAACACATCTTGCACATGATTGTAGTTTGTTCCAAGTCTGACTCAGTGAAACCAAAGTGTTTCCATACCAGAGTTTGCTTTTCCTTTCTTCTCGACTAGCGGCTTTCTGTCTGCCATCTCACAAGCTCTACCAACAAAGTTTCAAAGCAACCAGAGAGGCGATGAGTCGTGATTCACTGTTGTCAACTCATGCTGAAACTTCTGTTTGGACTCTGGGGGGAGGGGCCAAGCACATCCGCTGGGAAGGGGCTTCATTTACAAAATCCATGGCCACATTGGTAGACTTGTTAAGTGGCACAAAATTGTTTTATCTCAGTTATCTTGTTTTGAAAATCAATGGAAGCCAGAATTGTTACTGAAAATAAGTCAGATTAATTGCCCAGCCCTAGGTGGTAGTGGACATACAAAAGAGTAAGAGGTACAATCTATAGTTGAAGCAACAGCTAAAATTGGATTACCGTTAGCAAACAAGCAGGGAGATATGGGGGCATGCAAGATGGAGGGAAGCTTACCACAGTTCATTTACACATACTACCCACATTCTGATGACACAAAGCTAGTTGAAATTTGGCAAAGTATCCCTATTACGCTTAGTTTTGTCTGTTTCTAAAATAAAGTATATATATGCCATAGAAATTTGCAAAAAAATGAATGGTGTTAATCCGTTGTGTCCCGTTGGATTTACAGTGATGGAGGCAGAGAGCGGGTGATCTTGAAGTTCTGCCCTGACAAAAGGTAGAAAAGCTGCCTCTGTGAATTCCTCCACACATCTTGATACCACTGTCTGTATTTTCATGTGTCAGCTAATAGGCTAATTCTGTGCTCTTCTTTGAGGCATGACAAACAGCAGCTAAAGATGTTCAGGTACAGTAAGCCGAAGAAGAGTTTGAGGATAAAATACACATTTGACATGCTTCCTACCTTGAGTTTTCTTTAAAATACAAACAGTCTACCATCAGTCGTTACTTTACAGTTAATTTCTTTAATGCTGTAGGATAAACAACAGCCACCTCATGCCATCCGATATAACCACACTCTGTAAAAGACTGGTCCAGTGTCACTCCCATTTGGAGTTAGAGTAAGTTTGATCATTGTACATCCACATATTTCATGATTATGACCAAACAGGAAGACAGTAATATACTTTGATGTTGTGTCAGTTTGTCTCACAGCTCATTAACAGACAAGGCCATTGAGAATCTGCTGAAAGTCCTTCCAAAGATGGCGTCACTGCAGAGAATCAAGTAAGACACATGCATGAATTATTAGTGTGGGTGGTTTTGTGTGGGAGTAAAGATTTCTCTAGTTGGATCCAGATTTTTTAATGTGAACCTTTAATAATTGCTGTTGGGGGCATTAACAAGTTTGAAGTCTTTATTTGTTATCTGCACAGCAATCCCAGTGGAGCTGTCCAACAGTGAATACGTTTACATGCACAAAAATATTCAGCTTTAAACAGATAGTAGAAACAGTGTACAAGTGCGGTGTGAGTGACAAAGAGTGCAGCTCCAGAGCTCAGGAGTTCATCATCAGTCAGTTCAACAGATGGAGGAATTGTATAGAGAGATTGTAAAACCATGTTCACTGTATGAATATTTAAAACTGTCCTGACATGAATGTCAGATATCAAGATGGCAAACATATGTAGATGATGGCACTGTCCAGAAATTATACAAATGTTTTATGATACAAGTAACATATATACACAGAAATGAGTCTAGAAATTTAGAAGTTTAAGAAAGAAACAATGTAGACAATCAAGCAATGTGACTTAGCAATGTGCCACTTGACCAGTGTTAAGTATTAAGTTTTAATGATACCATGGTATTTCACACATATTTTCCCCCTGGCACCACATAACATTTATACAATCAGCACAGTTTCAAGATTAGTGTCACCAGTTTAGGATCTGACCAAATGTTTCCCCTTCTTTTCCTGAGTTGATTATGTATTTTACATTGGTTAATGGCCAGAAAAGGGTTTTATGCAGAACATTATGATGTCACAGACCTTTTGGATATAAAATGTAATGATTTGATCATTTTGTCCCATTTGACATTTGTGTGAAATTTTGTCATAATTAGCATATGAATTTTTGAGCTATGGCCAAAAAAATATTTTGTCACATCACACTGACTCTGACCTTTGACCTCTGACCACAAAATTCTAATCAGTTTATACTTCAGTCTAAGTGGGTCCAAGTTTGTGTCAAATTAAAAAAAATTCCATTAAGGTGTTCTTGAGATATCATGTTCACAAGAATAAGATTGATGCAAGGTCATGGTGACCTCGACCTTTGACCTTTGACCTTTGATCATCCAAATCTAAGTAGTTCATCCTCAAGTCCAAGTCAGCCTTGGTGCTATATTTGAAGAAATTCCCTCAAGGAGTTCTTGAGATATTGCATTCACGAGAATCAAATAGACAAGGTCATAGTGACCTTTGACCTATGACCACCAAAAACTAACCAGTTCATTGTTGAGTCCAAGTAGACATTTATGCTAAATTTGAAGAAATTCCTTTGAGGTGTTCTTGAGATACCACGGTTACAAGGATGGGACAGACTTACTGACAGCCCAAGAACATAATGCCTCCGGCCATAGCTATCGCTGGCGCTGAAGGCCTATTTCCACCAGATGCGTGTTGGTTGCGTCTGCGCTCCGGCATGGCAGCGGAGCCGATAGGATTCAATTCTAGTCAATGTGTGTGTTTCCACCGGCTGCGGCTGTGCTGTTTTCCGGCTCCGTCTCAGCTCCGGCACTCCGGAGCCCTCCACAACAGATACGCAGGACTTCTATTTTTGCCTGACGCCGGAGCACAACGCAGCAATTCAGCACAGAGCAGATCGTGCGGGGCAGGAAGTCGTGCACAGAAACACAATAAAACATCCGGTTAATTTTCAAAATAAAATACACAGTGTTCACGCGGATCATATTTCCCTGTACTACACCTTGAAAACTACATAATGGGCAGAGGCAGGCCTGAAGTCAACAGGTCAGAGGTTTTCAGACGTCATTTCACCCCGTTAACACCATGGACGAGGAGATATTCATCATGGCAGTGCACCAAGATGTCTTCCGGCGAAGCTGCACCGCTCCGCACAGCAAATGCAGCCGGTGGGTATTGACGGACGGTGGAGCATGCAGCGGATAACCAGTGCTGCCGTTCCGCAACGGACACGCATCCAGTGGAAATCCGGCGTGAGGCATTACAAAACACACACACCTTTAAAAGTGGTGGCCCAGTATAAACTCATCAACCACTCTCCTGCAGCCTCCTGGGTGTCACCTCGGGGGAACCTTTTCAAATTGTGCGCAAACGTTCTCTTGGACTCAACAATGAACTGATTAGAATATAATGTTTAAAGGTCAAGGTCACAGAGACCTTGGGTCTGTGTCATTCTCGTGAATGCAAAATCTCAAGAAGGCCTTGAGGGATTTTTCTTAAATTTTTCACTAATTTTCACTTGGACTCACAAATGAACTGATTAGAAATTGGTGGTCAAGATCAAAGGTCAAGGTCACACTGACCTCACAAAACATTTTGGACATCACTCAAAAATTCATACACTGATTATGACAGAATTTCACTCACATGTCTAAAAGGATAAAATTATAAAGCGATGACATTTTATATCCAAAAGGTCAAAGGTCAACTTCACTGTGACATCATAATGTTCTGCAGAAGATCTTGTCTGGCCATTACTTAGCGTCATATCTCTGGAACAGAAGGGGAGACATTTGGTCAGATAGTGAACTGATGTGCGTGAAGCATCCATGTTTCCACAGACATGGATGTAAACTGTTAGTTCAACTTGACTGGTTCATGGAGACAAACAACCACAGGGGGGTAATTCTAATTTCTGATTGTGCTGAGTCGAGTATCAACTTCACCACACAGTTTGATTTCAAACTGGTATGCTTAGGAGAAATATCACAAAACAGTACTAATAGTGTTAATTTAAAACAATGACTTTAAAAGATCTTGAACCTAGCATTTATTTGGTGTATTATTATTAATTACCAGCTTCTAGTTTCATTTAAATCAACCCTATCCTCTTCTCCTCTTCAGTGTCAGCCACAGCGTCACATCCACAACTGAAGCACTGATGTTGGTCAAATGTTTGACTGTCAGTCAGCGAGTCACATCTGTGGAGCTCAGGTATTACTGTTTTTTTGTTGTATCATGGCAGTCTGTTTTGTTGTAGTGCAATAAAAAGGAGTAATTCTCCTCACTTTGTTATTAATTAATATCTGTCACTGATAATGTTTTTGTTAAACACCGTTTCAAAATCTTCTTCAGGCCTGAGACTGAAGCTTTCATCCATTTTGACAGTGTGAAATCAGAGCAAGCCAGCTGCAGGTCTGTGATCAGCAATCAACATCTTAAGTGCACTGTCTTCTCATATAACAAAAAAAATGTGTGGGTGTTTGCTTCAACAGACTGTGTAGATTCTTCTAGTCTCTGTTTCCGTTTGACTGTCAGTGTGTGTGGTTCAGTATGATCATAAAACTCTGCCGTCTACAACAACTGAAAATGGAGAACGGAGGCAAAAATGGCAAATTCTGCTGCCTTTTTTTGCTGCCTGAACTGCTAAATGGGCAGCACACATCATGTTAACCACCACAAAACAAAAAAACCCCAAAGATTTTATGGCACATAAGAAGCAGGTCATGATCGTTTACAGATGAGTGACTGATTCTCTTATTATGAAGTGTCAGTTCGAAGTTCATTTGGTGGAGCTGTTTACTCTGCATGTTGTGTGGCATATTTTTCTTGATCAGCAGAAAACAAAGAAGTGCTTTTTCAGCAAAAGAAAAAGAAAAGACAAGCGTGACCACACCATTAACCGCACCTTAATGCCCTGTCTGTCTCTCTGTCTGACTGACTGACTGTTTACACACAGGTTAACTCATTGTAGCCTCAACAGTGACAACCTGGAGAAACTGCTCGAGATCCTACAGCAGGGTCCTCAGCTGTCTGACCTGGAGTATGTGTAACCCACAAAACTCACACACAAACCAAGTCTCATGCATTAGCGTACACCCACATACTATGCATATCTACTGGCATCAGTACTTTTTTACACACTGTTGGTTTGGATGCTTTCCTTTGACTGCAGTTTGTCAAGTAACAAACTGGGAGATGAAGGAGTCAAGCGTTTCTTGGATTCTCTACAAGAGCTTAAAATCACCAGCTACGCAAAGTAAGATATGAAATACTGATGTTTGCAATTTTCAGTTCTATATAGAGAAAGCCAATACATAGTTATCAGATGTTTTTCTATTACTCTCAAACATCAATATGGGAATGAACAACAAAGGTCACTCACAGTATGTAGATGGAGAAAAGTTGGCAGTAATCTAGAACATATAATAGTAAATAGGTTAGATATAAAAAATGAAAACACTTTCCTGGTCTTCAATGTGTCTTTATCCACAGTTTGAGCAACAATGGCCTGACCCAGCAGGGGCTGTTGGAAGTGGCCAGCACACTGTGCACCTCTAACAACGTCTGCAGTGTGGAAGTCAGGTGAGTTTGTGCAGTGTGGATATTGATGAACAAAGAGCCAAGAAAGAAATCAATTAAATTAATTCATGAAAGCATGAAAAACTGCAGAATTAACAAAGTATTCCTCCCTGTCTGTCTTTTTGTCCATGGCCTCCCATTTCTGATGTCTGCTGGTAGTTTGGAGGAAGAGGAGAGGTGTCTCATCTGGTTTACACAATATGAAGGTTGTGTAAAAACGCTGAGGTAGGACAAAAATCCAAAATTCTGATAATACAAGTTACTAGCACAGGTAGCACCCCACTTAAAAAATACTTCACCCCCCAAATGCATTTGTGAAGAAAGCTTTGTTTTACTTGCATGTGGAGAAAGATTCCAAAAACTGAAACAAATCTCGATCAGTTTAAGTCATAGAGGTCTGTATTTAACGAAAGCAAAACTATTATCAAAACATCCGTTGACAAATGTTCACACAGCTCATGCAGTGTGATCCAAGTCTCATTTATCAAGCAGTATGCTTGGTACTTCCCGAACAGACAGCCCTTTCAAACGGGTAACTGAACTGAAAGTGAAACTTATTTAGGCTCTCTTCAAAGCCAGACTCTATGGACAAAAACAGTAAATTTACTTTACCGAGTCACCTAGTCTACTTCTGCCTTGCACTGTGGTTTGTTTGTGTTACTGTGTGACTTCTGTAAATCTGAGCAAACCCTTTAAAACTCCAAAGTTACTCAATAGCAGGCAAAAACTAACTGATCGAGGCAGAAGACCTGCAGTTTTTGTCAATGGAGTCTGGCTTTGAAGACAGCATAGACAAGTTTCACTTTTGTTAAGTTCCCTGTCGGAAAGCGCTGTTTGTTTAGGAAGTACCGAACACACAACTTGATAAACGAGACTCTGATTATACTGCATGAATTGTATGAGAGCTTGGTAACTGATATTTCCTGATATAGCTTTGCTGTGTTTGGTCATCTATGACTTAAACTCATCATGAGTTTTCTCCATTTTTGGATTCCTCATTCACTTTGGAGGAATGCAAGAAAAACAAAGTTTTCTTTGCTAATTCAATGTAACATGAGGTGAGTAACTGATATGCCAATGGTCATTTGGGGGGGTAAAATATTCCTTTCACTAAACTCATTGTGATGACCTAAATACAGTTATAACTGCACACATTCTTCTGTGAAATTTCTACACAGTTTAAACCTCAATAATTTATATTTCAGCACAGGACACATTATAGGTGTCAGGTTTCCTTTCCTTGATCTGCCCTAAAAGCATGTTGCCTGCTCCCACAGTAGCAAACATTGACAGATGGAACCAGACCAGAACAATCAGCCAAGACAAGCACAAAATGTCACCATATGTCATCATCACACGGTGCCACTATTAATGTTACAATAAGTCAGAGCAACACTGCTGTTTGATTTTTTACATTTATACATCTCTCTTCTTGTTGTCTATCAAAGTAATTTAAAAGTTTCAGTGCACATGGCATTTATCAGTTAGGCAGTATGTACCTTTGACCTACCTCCTCATGTTTTGAGTTGTTATTTGTTTGTTCTTCTTCCTCCAAACTTTTCTGCCTGTCTGCCAGTGTCAGAGAGAGCAGTTTGGAACGTGATCATCTGGTCAGATTAGCAGAGATCGTGTCTACCTGCCCCAGTCTGACCAAACTGGAGTAAGTACACCTCTGTCTTCAAGACCACTTTATACTGTAGTTTATTTACAACTTTACAACTTCAGCTTTTGAGGAATTGAAGGAATTGAACAGATATCATATTTTTATGTAATTGCTTTAATGAAAACTCTTTGTATTATGAAAGCCTCTCAAAACCCTCTGATTGTAAAGCCCCTTGATGCAAATTTGTGATATATGTTACTGGGCTATACAAATAAAACTTGACTGAAGAATTACCCTTTTAAACAAGGTCTAAACAATGAGACCTAAGGTGTTTGTCTTTCATTCAAGTGACTTATTATTAGCATTATTGATGTCTTTCTTGACAAATGTAATGAGTACTGAGCTTATAGAAACTGATCAGAAGGACATCTACTGGTGTGTCAGAATGTCCAGTGTTTATTTTATTACTCTGTGCTTGGTCCACAGTTTCAAGAACAATTCCCTGCAGTCAGACTGGATTGAAGACTTTGTGAAACTGTTTAACAGCAGTCAGAAAGGATTCAGTGTCAGGTAAGAAGGACTGCAGTAGATTTGGTTGCTTGCAGAAGTTTGGACACCCCTCGTCAACATTTCCTTTACCGTGAATAGCAAAGCAAGTTAAAGATGACCTGATTTCCAAAAGGCACTAAATTAAAGACTTTTTCACGCCACTGTAAAGCCTGTGTCGTTGTGTGGGAATCATTCTGTGTTTCTTCCACTTCAACGCTATTGACTTACTAATCTAAAAGTAAGTTGTGTCAGTATTCCCTCTTAAATTTTCAGTGATGGAGCTCTTAGGTTTGCTTTTTCTCAGCATACAATCCATATTGTTTCTTAGTCTTGGCTAAACACATCTCTGTTTCTGTTTAAAAAGCTTATAAAATGTGTTGAACTGCTGAATTATATTGCTGAAATACTGACCTGTATCACACTCTCTCTGTCTTGTCAGTATTGATGAACGTTGGATCAGAGCTGAGGAAGCTGTCAGGTTGGTGTGTCGTTGTCTGGACGTCAGCAGGAACATACAGACTATCAGGTGAGATACGCAAATGCATGCAAATGAACACACACATTGGAAGACTGTACACTCTTTGTAGTGAACACATATTCAAACTCACTGAAGAATGTCCCACAGCACCACATGTATGTTGTTATGTCTTACAGTGCTATACACATTTACTTTGCAGGGTTCACCACACCACACTACACCTGTCTTTGATGAGGTCCACTGAACTGACCTCAGTCAGGTAAATACATTGACACTATAATACATTCATCTTTTATTGTGGGGAAGTTTATATGTGCTTCACTTTAATCTAAACTTAAAACAGCGGGATTTTTTGACATCACAACTTGTTTTGAAGCCAGTTGAATGATGTGGAAACATTCTCCTCTCCTCCAGCCTCGTGGACTGTGCAGTAGAGGGGTACCAGCTTGAATCTTTGAAGAGCATCATCCTGCGGTGTCCTTTACTGACAGAGCTGGAGTTAGTACTCTCTATTTAGTTTTCCCTGCATTGCATATATGGAGATAGAAAGACAAAAAAAGAAACTAAGAAAATATAAACAGTGTTTCTCTTAATTGTTCACAGTTTCTCCCACAACAGCCTGGGTATAGAGGGAGCTGAGTTTCTCTGTTGTGTCCTGCCCTCACTGCCACATCTCACTGCTCTCAGGTGAGAGCTTTTTTCCACATTTGTCACTCTTGCCTGTTTTAAAGTTCTAGAGTGATAAGCAGCTAATTTGTCTTCTGTAGTATTGGGTCCAAAGAGGCTTGTGTGACTGTGGTTGAAAAGCTCTCTGAGGCCTTGCTGCAGGCTACAGCCATTGAGTGCCTAAAGTAAGCAACACATACACAAACACATTTCATTATTTGTTGGGTGTGTTTTCATTTTGGAAAAAAAACTGTAGCACTGCATGACAGGGTTAAATTTTACAGATAGCTAGCACTTTTTTATCTTATGTTCATAAATTATAATGAATTTTTTTCTCTCTCCCAGTCTATCAGGTCATGTGATTAGTGACACAGCAGCTCTGATTATGACCAGAATGTTGCCCCGTCTGAGATCACTCAAGTAAGCATTTTAACATCCAGCAGATTAATATTTTTGTAGAGTAGTTTGAAGTGTTTATTATTTTCACAGATCAGTCACCACTATAATATATATATATATATAGATAGATATATATAGATATAGATATAAAGTGCTTATAATGTTGTACATACTTAAAGGAACAGTGTGTAATGGGGATTTTGGGGCATCTCGCTGTGAGGATTACACATTTCAACCTGCTGAGACTTCTATTGGTTAGATTTCCTTCAGTGTTAATTGTTCAGGAGGTTTTCACTGGGAGCCAAATTATCTGCAGAGGTCTCTTTCTCTCCAAAGCAAACAGACTTGGTGATTCAAACCAGTAAAATACTGAATAAAGCAGTTCCACATGACAAATCGGTGCTTCTCTAACAAGCCCAGTACATGCTAACGTGTGCTCACCTTTTTTTCTCTTATAATTTAAGATCCAGGTGTTAAAAAGGTTTTTACTGGGAGCTGAATTATCTGCAGAGGTTTAGTCCTCTCCAAAATGAACTAACCCAGTGATTTAAATGAATAGAAACACTGAATAAAGTAGTTTCATGTTCAAAAAAGTCAGTGTTTTTCCAATGCAGTTTGTTCCGCAAGGGCTGCTAACTACAAAAACGCAAAAATGCAAATGGCCCTATCTAGAACCAGTGTTTGGTTTGTTCATTCGGGGCTACTGTAGAAACATGACAGTGTAACATGGTGAACTCTGTAAACGAGTCCCTATGTAGATATGAATGTCTCATTCTAAGGTAAAGCAAACACAATAATTATTTTTTACAGGTGATAAATCACTAAAGGAAACATACTTATTGTATTAAATTATATTCCAATTCTGCCAGTATATCCCCCTAAATTCTCCACTCCGGACCTTTATGAGATTGTGTAAAAATGTGTAAATATTAGACAATGTTACCATTTCATTTGTCTTCTCTAGTCTGTCTCATTGTGTGTGGTCAGTGGCGGGAGGGCTGCAGCTCGTTCAAAATCTGGGAGAGTGTGACGTTCTGGAGGGCCTTTGGTAAGACATGCACACACATGCATACGCATGAACATCTGTACAATAATGTCTAACTACAGATAAAGTGGCTTCGATCATGTCTTGAAGTTCTAAGAAGGCCCACGTGTCTTGTCCCTTCATGTGTCTGTGTGGATTTGTGTGTTTGTGTTTCCACGTGCACCCCAAGTCTGGACTCCTTGAAATTGAATGAGGAGAGCACGATGTACCTGGCACAGGCACTAAGGAATATCAACTCTATCCGCAGTCTCAAGTAAGAAACATGATCTGTTCTGCTGTAGCCATTTTATCACTTCTGACCTTTCCAAATAATTCTTAAGACTAACAAGTATAATCTGGCCTCTTTATAACTGCTCATTAAGTATCTGTATTTATTTAATATGAAGCTAAGCCTGCCAAGCTATTCCAAGCAGTCTTTCTATCTACTGCTCCAGTCATACACATGCACTCTACTCAGACATAGCCAGTGCCATTCTAATAATCTGGTCTATTTATGATTCGTTCTCACCATCACTGCCAAAGCCACTGCTCACATTGCAGCCACTGTTGCCGCTGCTCTTCATACCAGCTTGTCATCAGCTGCACATGAACTTCACATACATGAAGGAGGTCTGATCCCACACACCCCCCATCGGAAGAAATTACCATTCCCTGTTTGCTCATAGTGCTAAGTTGTAAAGTCTGACTCAGTGATGAGCTGCAAGGTCAGAACTTAGACTGCTGATGTCAATGCTGTTTACACAGTATATAAATACATATCATACTTTCGGAGACATCCACTTCTAGGCTGGCACCAATAAAACTTTCACAGAGGATCAGATTGCTTAGCTGAACACTAAAAGTGACTCTGTTTTTTCATTGTGTGTGTGTGTGTGTGTGTGTGTGTGTGTGTGTGTGTGTGTGCCAGGCTGAATAAGATTGCCACAGTGATGGGACCATTAGGAGCAAATGGTTTGCTAGATCTCCTGGCTGCTACAGAGGGACTCAGACAAATGGAGGAGATAGAGTGAGCATGCTGCACATAAGCAGTTGTGGTTGACCTCATGTCCGTCTTCATGGAAGACAGCTGTCATCAGTGTTGTTGGATGTGTTCTTTCTCTTGTTCCAGGTTGGAGGGCTGGAGGATGGCTGATAGAGGAATAGAGCAGCTGACCAGACTGCTTCCTATCTGGAAGGAGCTCAAGAAGATCAGGTAGGCAGGAAGATGGTATTGGCAAAAAAGGGTAGATGAACCCCATGGTAGACACTTAACAGTACTGTATTTTCTTTTATCAACAGATTGTGATTTATGTGTCATGTTTAAAACTTTTGGATACCCATCTTGTCCGTCTGGTGTGTCGCTATGCATATTCTGATAATACTATACCTCTATGCTGGTGACAGTCCTGGCTAGAGGCATTATGTTTTCGGTTTGTCTGTCTTTCCAGCAAAATATGAAAAATGCCTTGAGGGAATTTCCTCAAATTTGGCACAAATGTGGCACTTGGATTCAGGGATGAACTGATTTGGTGAAATTTGGTGGTCAAAGGTCACTGTGACCTCACAAAAAATGTTTTTTAGCCATAATTCAAGAATTTATACAGTAATTATGACAAAATTTCACAGAAATGTCTACTAGCGTAAGATATATATTTTTTTATATTTTTTTATCCAAAAGGTCAAAGGTCAACTTCACTTCACTAATGTTTTCTGGCCATTATTCACTGCTATAACTCAGGAACAGAAGGGGAGACATCTGGTCTGATACTGAAGTGGTGGCACTAATCTTTGGTGCCAGCCTTGAAACTGTGCTGTTATGTAGATCAGGGGTCTTTAATGTTTGTCAGGCCAAGGACCACTAAGCTGAAAGAGAGGGACCTTTAACTATATGTATTGTATAAAATTGTTCCACTGCTGAACATTTGACCGTTTGTTAATTCAGACACTTTGGTGCTGTGAGGAAAAGCTCTGCTCTTTATCTGCCTCTCGCACTGCGCTGTCATTCTGCTCTGATCGATCGATCAGCTGTGTGATCGGCGATCACATCGGGGATTACACACATTTGTTTTTCCCTGTGTGAGAAAATGCATGTGTGGGGTGCAACATGTGACAAGTGTCAATTACATGAGTGTCACTGTCAGCATGTGAGAATTTGCAGCCCTGACAATACAAGATTGTTCAGCTCTGTTACTGTCGCAGTGTTCTGGCGTGAGATTTGCCTTGGTGTCATGAGAGCATGAGACAGAGCCTGAAAGTGTAAGCTGGCCACCCTGGCCTATAGTAACATGTCGGGTGGCCTAAAGCGTTATGTAAAAACATTCCCATTTATGGTGCATAGAATATGAAGCTATTAAAATAATAATTACTGACAGAGTCATATACACCATGTTTGTCTCTGAGGTAGACAGTATGTCAGACTTTACATTATGGCTCACAAGAATGTCCATACACTTGGAGTAATAATACAGCTAATCGGCCAATATGTTTCAATAGTACATAACTGTTAGCACGGGTGCTGCACACTGATTTAGCATTAGCTAACTCATAATTGTACATGGATCAAGCTTGCCTGTCATCAGTTTTGTATACTGTATACAGGCCCTTAGCAACACAGTTCATCTTTGCAGCCATTTTATTTTTGGTGTATGCTCAAGGCGAGCTACTCCATTGAATGGAATGAATAGATGCCATGTTGGGATCTGGTATCTAGGCATTATTATACATCTATGACCAATGTATCTTTGCTAATAATATGTTGTATTCATGTTAATGAGTATTTTCATACATATTCTAATATGAAAATAAAAATAGAAATGGGTGGCCTCCCCATGGCAACTCAGAGGACACCCTAAGGGCCCTGGACCCCCAGTTGAAGTCCCAGAGTGTGGCTCTTCTGTGCTGCTGGGTTTAAGATGTGTGTGAAGCGTCCATGTTTTAGAATTTGTTGCGTCTAACTGTTTTCTGCTGTCATGGCTACATGTGAGTTTGGACAGACATGGATTTAACTGTAACTACAACATGACTGTTTTGCAGAGGCATACAACCCTGAGGTGGTAACTGTAGTCTATTGAAATTAAATATATATAATATTATTTACTTATTTCTCTGTAATGTTAGATCTGTTATTACTCTCTCAACTTTATTTTACGGACATATACCTCATCCATGTTATTTTAATCCTGCAGATCGCAATTGTATGGTTCTTGATGACAACAAAGACTTTGTTTAGTTTTCAAAAAGAATGTCTTAGGTCCCGTGAGCACACTTTTCTTTGTGTCCACTGCAAACTATTCATGCAGCAGTCATCTACAAGACAATATAAGTGAAAAAAGATAAAAAAAGATAAAAGTCATGTATTCATTAAGCAAAAACAAATAATTGCTATTTACTTTTCTAAATGTTTGAAATGATAAAATAATCTGCTGCTTAGGTGTTTTTAGATGACCTCAAGAGTACAGATATGCTGTACATAAAGATCATAGGCATAACTTTGATCATGCATGTGTGAGATATGCTGTACATGAAGATCATAGGCATAACTTTGATCTGCATGTGTGAAGCGACACCCACTTGTAACATATCAGCCCTTTTATTGGACTGTCATCACCTTGTTTATGGGGACCAGCTGTTTCCGTTAGCAGCAGATTTCTCTTATTCAAGTGTAGGACTCACAGCCTCAGAGTGTGGCCATCATCAGGTGTTGCTGTATGTATTTACTCCTGACGTGTTGTTGTGGTGCATGCATATCTTTTATAGTGTGTTTTGGCTGCAAATTGCTTCATGGTTCCTGAAAACATCACTATATGTGTAGCACCATCTAGTGGTAATATTAAAGAAGACACTTTAGGAGCAGTCTGCCTGTGATGAATTATTGAAAGAATGCTTATTTTACATTTAATGTTGTGTATGTGCGAATGTCTCTGTCTTCCAGTCTGTCAAAGAACCTTATCAGCGACCAATCAGGAGACAAGCTACTGGAAGCTTTGAACATCTGCAGTCACCTGGAGGAGCTCCAGTAAGGACATGATGGCATTTTTTATATGCACCTCATTCTAGTAGATAGTGTTGTGGAAAAACAATGAAACAGCTTGTCAGAAGTGAAAATTCTGTCATGCATTCATTTTACATTTGCACTGCTTGTGCGGTATGTAGCATTCAAAGAAAACAAAGGGGACTGATTAAGACAGTAGTGTTGAAAATCTGTTTACATTATTATTAGCGCAAAATCAGTTAGTGTGCTCCAGTCCCCATTTTGCTATCCAGGAAATGAGAAACACCTAATTCATCCAAACTCTGTTTTAAGCTATATAACATTTTGGTATAATAAACACTTTTTTTATTACAACATGTAAAGACTATTAGTCCTCAGAGTAGTGTTCTTTGCTGGGAGAAGTTTAGTTTTCCATATAAACATTTCAGCTATATTTTGTGTTATACATACCGAACAAAAATTTAAATGCAAAACCTTTTTTTTTTTTTGCTCCCATTTTTCACAGGTTTAAGTTTTAAGGTTTTTTTGATGCACTCAGTAGGTATATTTCTCTAAAATTTTGGTCACAAGTTTGCAACAAGCTGTTGCCTGTGAGCTAAATGTTCATTCACTACCATAAGACGTTTCCATTAATTTAGCAGTACATCCTCTCACAACCACAGACCACATGTAGCCACAGCACCTTGGGACCTCCATATGTAAGGCTGGTTGGATGTACTGCGAAAATAACGGAAACGACATTGGAGATGACTATGGTAGTGAAATGAACATCGAGTTCACAGGCAGCAGCTCTGATGGACATTCTTGCAGTCAGGCAGTATGCCCCCTCAAAAGTTTTTGAGGGTGATTAAATGGTACACTTTAGAGTGGCCTTTAACTGTACCTATCCTAACACACACCTGTGTAGTAATGATGCTGTTTCTTGATATCCATGATTTTAGTAGTGTAGTGTTTTTAAAAGAACTTTTCTGAGCTCCAGTGATTTTACTCCCTCTTTTTCTGTTCAGGACCTTGTGAATACTTTTAAGCACTGCAAAATGAACACAAGCCCTGGCCCTGACAATATTGGCAGCTGTTTGCTGATGCACTGTGCCTACCAACTGGGCCGCCCTAAATCCCTGAATGATTACAGACCAGTTGCCCTGACCTCACTAATAACAAAATCACTGGAAAAACTCATAAAAAAGGAACTTTTAGGCAAAATTGAACATCTTCTGGACCCTCTGCAATTTGCATATCGCACCCACAGGGGGGTGCAGGATGCCACCATCACTCTTCTTAACCTCATACACAAGCATTTAGAGGGCAGCAAAAACCATGCCAGACTTTGGTTTGTAGACTTTTCCTCAGCGTTCAATACGATTCAGCCCCACCTGCTGGTGGAAAAGCTCACCGAACATTTCAGGTTGGACTGTAACATTGTGGGTTGGATCTTGGACTTTCTCACTGACAGTTCTCAGAGGGTTAGAATAAATGAGCACATATCAACACTATCAAAAACATCAACTGGATCCCCACAAGGCTGTGTTCTCTCTCCTCTCCTTTATATCATGTACACAAACAACTGCCGTAGTAAATTTGACAACCATCATAATGTTAAATTTGCAGATGACACAGTTATTGTGAGCCTGTTAAATGACACTGAAATGTCACATGGTCCTGTTTTAAATGAGTTTTTAAAGTGGTGCACTGAAGCCTTTTTGGAACTGAATGTCACAAAAAAGGACATGTGCATTGATTTTAGACACAACCACCCTGCCCCTGTAAACGCCACTGTAAATGGAGAAATTGTGGAGATTGTCGATTCGTACAAGTACCTGGGCATCATAATTGACGATAAACTGACTTTTGAGGAAAACACCGACATGCTGATCAAGAAAAGCCAGCAGCGTCTGTTTTGTCTAAGGAAGTTGGCAAAGTTCCAGGTCAAGTTCCAGGCAAATCCCTGATGACAGTGTTTTATAGATCTTTTATTGAGTCTGTTGTCACCTTTTTTTTATTTGCTGGTTTGCATCACTCAATCTGAAACAGAAAAACTCATTAACCAAGATAACAAAAGTCAGCAGTAAAATCATTGGCACTCAGCAAAAAAACCCTTTCAGAACTGTACAATAACCAGCTATCAAAGGAGGCAAAATCCATCATGTCCGACAGCACTCACCCCATGCATTCAGAATTTAAGTTCCTGCCCTCTGGTTCCCGCCTCAGACAACCATTAGCCAAAACTAACAAATACAAATTCTCCTTCATACCCTCTGCCATCTCACTGCTTAACTCTGTACAGTACAGGTAGCATCATCATTAGTTCACATTTTATACAAGTATGCGTTTTTATTTATTTAGTTACGACTGATTTTATGTGACTGTTGCCTTGTGTGTGTCAACCTTGTTGTTGTCATTGTTTGTTGTTGTTGTTTTTATTGCTACTGCGGCAGAATCAATTGCCCCTCGGGGACAAATAAAGGTCTTGAATCTTGAATCTTGATATGTCACACCTGTCAGATAGATGGATTATTGTGGAAAAGGAGAAGGGATCACTAACATGAATTTTTACAAATTTACAACCAAAATTTGAGATAAATATTTATTTTGAATGCATGAAAAAGTCTTAGATCTTTAACTTAAACCTCTGAAAGATGGGAGCAAAACCAAAAGTGTTGTGTTTAATTGCATTTTTTTCAGTGTATTGTTGTATTGTGTGTATTTTTGTTAAAGAGAAGAACATAAATGTTTGCATATTTATATAAGAACAGAATATAAACATTACTTTGTGCTTTCTTACAGTCTGTGTAGTAACAGCCTTGGTGATCTCACTGCTGCCAGGATGGCCCTTGTTCTGCCGTCTCTGACACACATCACTGTCTTGGAGTAAGTCACACACATTCAAATTTCTTACTGACATTTATTACAATTGTCACACTTGTCCTGCAGTTTATGTATTTTATGCACTTGTGTCTCCTCTAGTCTTTCAGACAACAGTGTTGGACATGAGGGGTCAGTGAATCTGTCCAAAGCAATGATGCACATGAAGAACCTCACCAAGATTCAGTAAGACTCTTAAGCTCCTCCTGCTGTTTAAGGAATCACAGCCCGGGTGGATGATGGCTGATTATTAACTTAACATGTTTCTGTTTCTTTTGTGGTCTGTCAGTCTGACCTCTGTTGGGACTTCAGAGCTGTGTGCTGTAGCTGCCAGTCTGGCCTGCTGTCCCCTCATACAGGATGTGGGGTAAGATATAAATGATCATATCATACATTGTCAGGGCATTATGATTAAGACAATTTTTACAGGCATCACTTAGGTACCTCCTTAAATGCTCACAGAACAACATGAGTGGGCTATGTGCAGTTTACTGGCATCAAATAACATGCAACACGTTCCTCTTGCCCTCATGGAATCAATCAGAGGCAGCAAAGTAGGCTATTTACTGTGAGTATAACCAGGGCACTTTAACATATACATTTGCACTAATGATCACTAGCAAACTGTGTTAACAGTGTTGATCTCTTCGGGGGCAGTGACACCGTGGGGTGCAAAATAAAGAAGGCTGTTGTTTTTGCAACAACTGTTTCATACACTGATTCTCTGGTAAAGCTTTGTTTTTAGATCCAGAAAGGTAGCTTGCTGTCATTACTGCATATAATTACAAAAAAAGGACGGCCATACCCGACTCAGAGTTACGTCAGTGGAATCAGATTTGGCTGTTCAATGAAAATATTCAGCTGTTGGTTCTTTTTTTTCCTTGTAGAGTTTGAGAGTTTGAACAGGGTTCAGCGAGACGTTCAGTGTGACAGTGACATTCATGTAATATAGTAAATAAGTCAAGTTAGCCATCCGAGCTAATGCATGCCAACTATGCTAATGATGGATCAGAAATGTGTAACAACATTTTTTGCCCACACGGTAAATCAAACAAAGCCAGTGTCTAGGGGTGGGAATCTCTAGGCACCTCACGATTCGATTCAATTCTGATTCCGAGGACAACGATTTCGATTTTAAAACGATTCTTGATTCTAAAATGAGCCAATAATAAAATTTACACTAGATATTGAAAAACATTATTGTAATAAAGCTGGGAATACATATCCAGTGCATACAAACTGTATTACTTACTGTGGTTGAAATGACGACGCTCCATCATTCTCCGGTCCATCCTCCTCATCCACAAATTTCAACGGGACTCTCCTGAATCAATCAATTCAATCAATTTTATTTATAAAGCCCAGTATCACAAATCACAATTTGCCTCACAGAGCTTTACAGCATACTGCATCTCTCTGTCCTCGCAGCAGATAAGGAAAAACTCCCCCGTCCCTCGTCGACCTCCTCGACATTTCACCTCCAGTATTTACAGAACTATAACTAACTATAACTATCTATGAGCTATAAAAACACAAACTATTGCAAAAAGACGAACGATGGCAAAACTATGACCTATAGTGAAAACACGACAAAAACACAGCAAAAAAAACTCAAAAGCTTTCAAAAAAACACAAATACTATTATTTACAACACTAAATATTATTTACAAAGAAAACGCTGCTAAAATACTCCTTGTCAGCTGTCACTCCTACTGTGCTCACTTCCCTCCCCTCCTCCCCAGGTAATGACGTCACTACCGTAATGTATCTGGAAAGCTCCGCTTCTCAGCTTTCAGAATTATGTCGATAGCTTGAATGGTCGAGGAGCTACGTTAATTTGAAAAATGCATGTCATTTCCTGTCGTGGGCGACAGCGTCGGTTGTAAAGATATTATAAATTTAAAAAAATCGATTATCAGTTTTCCACATCGATGCTCGCATCGTTCAAGACAGAATCTTGATGCATCTAAAAATGTTTTTTTCCCCCACCCCTACCAGAGACTGTATTGTATTAAATTGCTGTGTGCTGTAAATTCACCACCTCTATGAGGAGAAGGCAGAGGATAATGTTATGTTGGAGTCCATGCAAAGCCTCTCCTTCCCTGGGCAGCTGCTTCCATCTCGTTCAGCCCCTGTCTACACGTATACAGATGTTTTTGAAAACGGGTATTTTCTCTGTTTTAAAAAATAATTGTCCACACGCTCTTCGTTTTACAAAATATCTAGATTCCACAATAGAACACAAAAACAACTCTACATGTTTGCATGCATGCAGTGTTCACACAGACAGCTTTGCTGCTGCGGCGCCACAAAATTTTGGCTTCTGTAACCTTTAGCTGAGTTTGTGTCTAGCCAAAGGTCTAAATGTAGAGGAAACTATGCGTTTACAAAAATATCTGTATGCATATAGACAGGGCCTCAGACTCGCCCTGGATCTGGGTCAGCAGCTTCCTGTACAAGGGAGCAGTGTGAAAGCAAGGAGCACTGACTCTGATGCTACATTTCGGGACCGAAACACACCCAGAAGTAAACTGCACACTGACATACAACAACACCAATAAAACAAGCAAATAAAAAAAACCCATCACAACAGCAACAAAAAATAAATAAACAACTACTCAACTTGAAGAATCTCAGTCGACTGAGGGGTCTCCGACAGATGAAACAGCTCTATAACCATGCGACTGCATTTCTCTTCACTCTCTGTTGTGACGGCTCAAAAGCAGCTTTAACCCTATGGGCCCGAACGACGCAAATTCACACCTGTTCTTCTCTATAGTTTTTCTCCGCGACCGTGCGTCATAGTGAGAAGCCACGCACATCACGTGAAACAGCGGAATTGTAGCTTTCCGACAAGACCAAGTCGGTAGTCCAATGTTTTCACAGCGAAAAAAAATTATAATAAAAATTATGTATAACAGAGCTTTCATACAGCTTTGCACACACATTACTCTTGGATGGATTACTCACGATTGCAGGCTCGCACAGAAATGCCACGCATATCACATGAAAGCGCAGGAGCAGAGCTTTCCAGTGATACCACACACATCATTGTGCTGTCATCCGATCATGCTATAAATCCAGATTAATTGTCTACAAAATAAAAACCTGACGAATTTCTTTACAATCCATTGTACAGATTTTGTTATCAGTCACTTCAAATAGTGAGGAATATCATATCTTACCACATCTTAGGCTTGTGCGTGCTTCTCCCTGTCTATCCACATTTGTAGTCCGGCTTTCAAGATGCAAATATCTCCATATTGTCCAGTTGACACTCCATCAAACTTTGTATGACAAGATCAGCCACTTCACCTTTGCCCACCCAGACAACTGAGGCCTAATTATGCATGCATGACAGGGCCATAGTCACCATATACATTGAGGGGGACATGTGCCCCCCAGTGCCCAAAATGCCCCCCAATATATAACTGAAACTGAAAAACAACAACAAACTTTGTTTACTGCAAACAAAGTGGCAAATATTATCTTCATTGCACTTGGTTGACTATTTTTCTATGATCTTAGATGTAAATATTGCATGTTTCTTTCAGATAAAACACATTTTTGACTTGTGAATGAGTCAATGGAATTTTTGCAATAATGAAAAAATACTGGCAATCATGTCTGCATGGCACAAACCACATGTTTTGGACAGCTGTGAAGTGACAGAATGTCCCAGCATCATGGTTCTCATATTGCCAGATTCCAGAGAGTCTCCCCTCTTCATATATGGCAGAATATGTCAACTTCCAACTTGCTATGGTGAGATACATGTAAAAATGTAAGAATTTAGTCACACGGATTTGTTTTTTTCATTGATATAAAAATTAATATAAAATACAGGCACATAGAAGGACATTTAATGATGGCAAATCTGGATAGCCCAGATTGTCCTGAAAAAAACAAAACAAGATATAGCATGTGTATGTAGCCTTTATAATGACTGTGATATGAGCTTAAAAGTAAAGGCAGTAAAAATACCCCAAAAACGCCTAGGGCCCATATGGTTAAGCCACATATACATGTTACACATAAACACGATTGATTCTGACTCCAAATGTGAGGTTTGTCAGCCCTGATCTGAATGTTGAATGGACTGTTTTTTTTAAAGACCATAAAACTGCATCTCTCTCTCTGTCTCTAGCCTGGGATGGAATAATTGTGGAGATAAAGTGGCTGTGGAGCTGGCCAAAGTTATGCCTGTCTGTCAGAAGCTGACCAGAATAGAGTGAGTTTGTGAACACGCACGCACACACGCACATACGCACACACAGAGTTCTTTTTAGTTTTCCTGCAGTCTCACAGATAGCTTTACCATTTCTGTATTACTTTATCTATCTTTCATTTGAGTTTGTTTGGTAATCAATTTTTTTTGTCTTTACTGCAATTCAGTTTAAATTCAGTACCTCCTTTAGCTAACTGACTTGTCAACCACATGCTCAATGGAATAAAAATGAGTATGTATGTGTGTGTTTATTTCTCTTAGTTTGGAGTCAAACGCTGTGAGTGTTTTTGGAGCGGAGGCCCTGTGTAGAGCCTTACAGTTGTGTCCTGCCGTACAGCTCATCAGGTAAACTTATAGTCTCAGGCAAAGTTTGGCTCATACAGGCACCTGTAGATATTGGCTGCGTTTCCTAGTTAAGAGCGATCTTAAGACTTAAGAGCACAGTTAAGAACGTCCTAGCTAAGAAGGGTCACTAAGATAAGAGTGTTTCCCAGATGCCTTCTTAATGCCCTTCTTAGGATCGCTCTTACGATCGCTCTTTTAGACGCTCTTAACAGGAGCTGGCCACTACCGCGATCAATCGATGTCAGACACATCGATCACCCACTTCATCAGTGCATAAGTCACACACAGCGCTGCTACCTAACGCACTAATTCCCTGCTGCTCGTGTGTATGTGTGTTCTAATAATTCTAATGAAAAACGAAGACGATAAATATTTGTTATTGACCTATTTTCATGACAAAAACAAGACTACAACTAAATAAGAAGCAGTCTTGGTAAGAGAATCATAAGGAAATGTATTATATTTAAACAAAAAAACACAGACGCCTTGCTGAAGGCGGTACTGTCTCCCACCACCTCCAGGAAGCTCCCCACTGCGTAAAAAGAGCTCAATTACACCTGTCAGTTGCCTGATAACTGTGAAATGTCACAGGTTTGGAGGGTGGATGTGTTTCTGTCAGATGTGGGATATGTGCGGACAAATTATGATAAATGATTGTCATGATGATTCATTTTATTTGTGTGCCTGATGTGCACAGCACATACAGGAACACACTTGTTATTGCTCATACTTATTTTTCGTCTTATTATTATTTTTCTGCAGCCAGATTTCAGTGCGTAACTTGTGCCACAGCTTTGAGCGCACATAGGGTCTTAATAAAGCATATAGATTCAAGATTTAAAGTGTTTATTGTCATACACACAGTAAGGACACGTTTTTCCCTGCAGAATGAAATTTGTTCTTTTCTGTCACCAATTAATGCTAAACAATATAAATCTTAAGTATAAAATAGATCAAAATATATACTGTGCGCACTGTTTTAACGTGTTCTTGCTTAGTGTAATATTAATGTGCTTGCTGTGGCTGGATCTGTGAGCGTTTGGTCGCTAAGAAGACTGTCAAGAGTGGGTCAGCTCGATCTTACAACTCCTTCTTAGTGAAAGATCTTCTTAAGCTAAGAGCGATCTGGGAAACGTGTTTTTCTTTCACGGGAGGCTTAAGAGTGTTCTTAAGAAGCTCTTAGCGCTAAGAGTGATCTGGGAAACGCGGCCATTGTTTGTAACCTTCACTATATGCCGAGAGCACATTCTGCTCTTTGCTTGTTTTCACTACAGCTTATGATGTCTTGTTACTGCCCATTACATGTTTAAAATCAGCTTTATGTATTATATACTTAAACACTGAGGATATTAAATGTTACACTGCTTGGTTTTTCAGGCTGTGGAGGAACAATGTCCTGTCCAGTGAAGCCCAGAGGCTCAGTCTGAAGGACAGGAGGCTAAATTTCTCACCCACCTAACATGATGTGTATCGTTGGACGGTGGCGGCGGCAGGAAGAAGAAACATTCCACTTCATCAAAACATGCAGAGGTGAATCACTGCAACCGCTTCAGCCACACAGAAGTTAAAATGCGTTTTCCCTGCAGTATGACCATCAGAAAAGCATGAAGAGTGATGTTATAAAATCTCAGTGTAACATTTTACGTTTAAAAACCCTTAATCATTTGTGTGTCCTATGACTGCAGCAATTGGTGTCTGTAATGGTGTGACTACTATGTGGTCTACTATTTTCTTTTTACTGTATGAAAGAGTTCTCATCCCTTTTGGTATTTCCCCAAAATATATTGGTGTTTATAATGTTAAAAGTCTCACTGGGGAATGATGTGAATAAGTACAGTTGTACTGCTGAATGTTTCTAAGGTATTATTTTTGAGAAAAGCATCTATTTTTGAGACTATTTAAATGTATGAGTGCACTTATTGGCCTCTAGTTTCACAGTAGTAAACAGGTGTAATCAGCTGCCAGTGTGGCAATGGTTACGTTTACATGCACACTAATATTCCACTATTATTCTGAATATGACAATATTTCGAATTTGATACGGGTGTAACATGTAAACTGCATGTAAACAGGAATATTGGTAGAATATTATTTACAATATATTTCCAATATATCCAATATATTTACAGTCAGCGCTTACTGTTTATTTGTTTGAACATGGAAATGGATTTGGTTACATAAGCTACCTAAGGAACAAAATACAAATTTGAGGTTGTATGACCCGTTGTTTTATTTTCTAACAATGAACTGTGTGTTTTCAGCTGTTGAACTGAAATTATACAGATGTCAAAGTGATGTAAAACTGTGATAGGGTATGATCTCACTGTCTGAGATAGCTGATGGAGGGACAACCCACAAAATTTATTAATTTGGATCAGCCCCACCTTTTCAGTCTCATTACTGTCAGACTTCACACCATCCAACACTGCCATGAACCTAGAGGCCATGACGTAAAGAATTCCTTGGTTTTTCATTTGATAAAATTATATAATAATTTATAATCATATGTATGCAGACTCTGATACACTGAGTCACTTTGCACTGTAATGTGTTTACAATAATTAGAGGCCACATTAGTAAAAACACAATAACTCATGAACTCACAGTAAAGAAAGAGCTGAAAGGGAGGACCCCTCCCCCCTGTTCTCTGCTCTTATGGTCATTTTAGGTTGTGGTCACTATCCAGTTTGCGTATTTATTTCCGATGTTATCATGGGAAGTTATTTATGTAATTCAAACTTTTATGTTCATATGAGATGATAATTAGATTGAACAAGAAGTGTGAAACACCACACACTAAGAGTAACAGATGTAACAGTTCCATTATGATCTTGAGAAAAACACAACATGCCAATGAGCACAGACAGGAATGACGTGTGGTGCTGTAGCTCATCTGTTAAAAATGGTTTTATTTTATAGTTTGTGTTAAGATTTTACTTCTCACATGACAAATTGCCTCTGTCCCTGACATTAATTCATTCTGACTTGCACTGAAATGTCAGCTGACATTAAACAAACATACAAAAAAAACAGCATTGGCCATTATTTACACTTTACAATTGTTCTTCCTTTTTCTTTCTTTCTTTCTTTCTTTCTTTCTTTCTTTTTCTTTATTTCTCTCTACTTGCTTTCTTCCTACTTTTTTGTTTTTATAGATACATATTGTGTTTACCTAACTAAGAGTTAATTATCAACTGATATACATTTTGCTGTTTATTTTCTCCTTTGTTTTGTTATTTCTTACCTCAGATGACATGTCAATATGACCTAGTTTCTGGAGTACACAAGTCAGTTTCTCCCCACACATTCCACAAAGTGTGTTTTATGAACCAGTGTTTTCCTTTGGACTAATTCCTTTGGACTAATTCCAACAAGAGCAGCTGAAATGACAGCTGTCCTTGTCAGTCATGTTCTTTGGCCAAACACATTCACAGGACTCCCATTCCTTTATTTACAGTATGTTAATCTGGCACTCTCTGGTGGTTGGGACAGGTGGTGCAAATGTGGTGCCATTTCTGCCCCGCTGCTGTATTAAAGGGATAGTGCACCCAAAAATGAAAAGGGAGGCTCAGGTGAAGTTATAGAGTCCTGTGTATCCCGTGCTCACGTGTGCGTACTTGCGCGAGACTGTGAGACATGGCGCGCACACGTGAGCACGGTGTACAGAGAGGCAGTTAGAGCTGCAGGCTACAATGAGGCTAAAAACAGAGTTCAAATGATGATGTGGATGACACTCAGCTATATTTTTCAGTAAAACCAGATGATTTTAGCAACCTTAACACTCTTCACAGCTGTTTAGCTGCTATAAAGGACTGGATGTCTGTCAACTTTCTTCAACTAAATTCTGACAAAACTGAGCTTCTCATTTTTGGCCCTGAAAATACTGCTAAAGGCATCATTCAGCATATTGGCCCACTTGCCCCCTATGTCAAAACTAACACCAGGAATCTTGGTGTTATATTTGACCCTAAATTGAAATTTGAACGTGTCAATAAAATGGTTCGATCATGCTTTTTTTCAACTCAGGAACATTGCAAAAATCCGACCATTATTGTCAGCTTCTGACTTAGAACATATCATTCATGCCTTCATTTTTTCCAGTCTCGATTACTGCAACTCTCTTTTCACTTGCTTTAGCCAAGCTGATCTGTCACGTCTTCAGCTTGTACAAAATGCAGCACCTAGGCTATTAACTAGGACTGGCCATAGATCCCACATCACTCCTGCTTTAGCCTCACTGCACTGGCTGCCAGTGAAGCTCAGGATTGATTTCAAGATTCTTTTAATCTCTTATAAGGCCTTACATGGTTTAGCTCCTGCCTATATGTCCGAGCTACTAAGCCTGTATACTACCGAGCGGTCACTTAGGTCTTCTAACCAAAACCTGTTGGCCATACCATGTGCCAAACTAAAAACCAAAGGTGACTGTGCTTTTGCTGTCCTGGCACCCAGACTTTGGAACAATCTCCCCACTTCCATCAGATCAGCTGAGTCTGTTGACTGTTTCAAAAAAACACCTAAAAACCTACTTTTTTAGAATGGCTTTCTCATAACATTTGATAAATTCAAGTGTGTGCTCTGGGTGATGACTGTATGCTTGCTGTGCTCGTATTGTATGCGTGTGATGTCTGCATGTGTTCTTGAATGTGTCTTTTATGGTTTTTGTGTCCTCTTTTCTTTGTGTCCCAATGTCAGTGTAAAGCACTTTATAACCTGTGTTAAAAAAGGTGCTATATAAATAAAGTTTTACTTACTTACTTACTATTTAACAAAAGAAAAAAAGCAACTGACAGAGATGGGTTTGCCTTCTCAAGGGCATATATGGCAGATAACAGCATTTAAGTTTTAGCGTTTTTTTTTTTTTGACCACAGGTGTATTTCTGAGGTGGCAAGTTGAATCACTTGCAAGCACTGCCTGCACCATCTACATTTACGACCATGACTCCACTATATTTTATGTATGTTTTTTTGTTAATTGTTGGAACTCTGTGATGCTGCTATTCTTGGCAGGGTCTTGTAACTCTAAATAAATCAATATTTGACAGCTGTAGGTACTAGTTACAGTTAAGACTTTACAAAAAATGCATGTGATCCAAGACCACAGGGGTTTATGTTTGAGTTGCCAGGGAACATACTGTGCCCTTTCGCTTTGTTAGAATATTACCCGTTGTTGCTACTGCGCAATCCATCAGCCTTTTGCCATATTTCAAAGTGGACAAATTACAGCAATGATCTATGTGAGTTAATGATGTAACTGAAAATAGATTGCATGCTTTTATTTATAGACTATTATTCTCACTTTTCTCTGGCTATGTTGTAAGTTGCTAGCATTAGCATTTTTTTTTGTACAGTGACATGTTAACTTGGTTACTCAGCAATTAAGCAAGCTACACTGTAACAAAAATGACATCGCTAACAAGTGACAATGGCTGGATGAAGGTGAGTTGCTGATGGTAGATACATATGTTGTCATAATGTAACTGCGACATGATGAGAACTTATTTGTCTTTCTCCTAATGTTAGGTTTGCTAGAGCCCATGGGAGTGAGCTTTGTTGGCTTCAAGTTGCTACAAATTTGTAAAGCAGCTGGCACTTTCCACTGCATCTGTAAGTTGCTTGGCAACCACTCAACTAAATGTGGCTGAAGAATCATGTTGCTTGGTGGGAGAATGATTGTTATTATCAAAATGATAAATTATTTCATTCATGGTTGCAATTTTTAATATTTGCCTTTTATCTTAATCTGTGAAGCTTTAATACAGTAAGTTGTGTGTGACCAGCCTTTGGTTCTTCTTGCACTGAGATCTGGAGAGAAGTGAACTTAAACATCACATGTCTGGTTGCAATTCAAATTTAAACCTATGAAGAGAAAGAATTGGACAAAAGCAAAGCTATCCACCTTTTTTTCAAACACGGAAGTAAATAGTGATCAACTTCCGTGTTTTTGTGCGTGACTTCCGGCTTTCCCTCTTGCTTTCCCTAACCGGAGCTAACGGTGCAAGCTATTTTTTTTTCAATTTTCAATTGTTTTTGTTAGTCAATCAGTTAGTTAGTTAGTTTGTCTGTGTATTTTATATAGATAACTGTGCCCACGTTTCCATTATTTGGTAATTGCCGGTAAAAATAATTCCCTTTAAACGCGAATAAATCGCATGTCAATCAAAAACTATGAACCAAAAAAGCACAATCTATCCCGAGTGATACATACTGCTTGATCCCCGTCTCCAGTGTACCAGCAGAGAACCTGCAGAACCGAATCAGCGAAAAAACACACCGGGCTACACAGCCTCTCTACCTGAGCAGCTGAAGCTGCGGCTCGCATCCTCGACACACAGACGGTGCTTCTGCATGCCAGCCAAACGTGTGCGCAACTGTGAGAAATAAATATGTGAGGTTTACGCTGCTTTTCTATCTTTTTTTCCCCTTTTCTTTCTTTCTTTCTTTCTTTCTTTCTTTCTGTCAGCGACATACGCTCCTAACACAGGACGGGTTGTTTTAATTGACTGAGTTGATTATTAAGCCATAGTGATGCGCGGATCGGCTCTGATAGCACCCGAATCAGCATGTACGCATCAACCATCCAGCCGTTACAACATGATTGAGCTAGCAAAGCAGTTTTGTGTTGCTATGTGTGGTATTTATTCAGTTTTGGGAAATCACGATGTCTAGAAAGCATCAGTGGCTGCAGCTGACAGGGACAGCTAACGTTAACACTAGCAGCAAAGCTAACATCAGGACGTCATCTGTTAAAAGCCTCCCGTTGTCGGATACGACATGAAACTACTCCAATTAGCTCAATCATGTTGTAACTAAGACATCCGCTGGAGAAGATATTTTTTTCAACGACCGTTTATTGAGTTATTACAGACACCACTAACGGCCAGTGCTGGGGAAGTTACTTTTAAAAAGTAGTGTTTGCTCGTTACTTGTTACTTCTTAAAAAAAGTAATCCCTTACTTTACTTAGTTACCCTCTGTGAAAAGTAACTTTTTACGTTACTCGTTACTTTTAAGTTACTTTTATGGTGCTTGACTTTGGGTAGAACCCAATCTCATTTCCTAAATGTGAAAAAATCCGAGTTTCCCACTGGTATTTACCACTTTGGTGATAAAATAAAGATTAAAGAGTGAGAGTTAATTTGTGTTGACTAGGCTACATGAATTTGTTACATGACAGATTACTACTACTAATAGCCTATTTGCCAGACCTGCTGCATCACTGAATGAGGAAAATATTAATATTCACAGACACTATCTTTGAACAAATAGTGTCATATTCATGAATAAATCATTTTCTGTTCTGTTATTACGTGTGTAACTGTGAGACTGTGTTTGTGTAACAGACTCATACTTTGCAGTAAGCTACAGACCTGTACGAATAAATTAATTCATTTTCTCTTCTGGTATGGTATGGTAGGTACTTTATTAACCCCTCGGGGGGAAATTTCAATGTCACAGCAGCAATTTAAAATACACAAAATAGGAGCTGCTGCAACAGGCTGCCGTTCACACAGCGCCAGGAAGGTAGGCAGGTTATGATTGTTCTGTTTTCTGTTAACACAATGCTGCATTTTATCAATGTTTTGGGGGTTGTTTTGATTTCCTTTGAGGTTCCGGGGTCGTATGTTGCCCATGTCTGAGGTCTGACTAGCGAGGTTAACGTTACATTAAACAACACTTACCCAGCCATACAAGTGCAGTTCACTGTCAGTATATAGTTGGTCGACTTGTTCAGAATCGCCCAGGTCTTGCACATTAGTTAACGTTACTGTTTTGTGTCCTTGTCGCTGGCTCGGCAGTACTTCGGTCCGTAGAGCACAAAAACCATCAGATAAATCCTGGTATTCAATATCTTGGACCTGACCGCAAAGTACAAATTTATACACATCAAGGGATTTATATGCCTTGAGTTTTTCATGCGTATAAACGCTGGGTTTCTCCCAGGAGGTCAGGGAACCTCACTCCGTTGCTAATTGTTAGCTTATTACAATAAGTTAACCTGTCTTCGGTTGACAAACCGTTAAAATAATC